CCGAGCCACGCGCAGACGAGTCCTCCTTGAGGCTTAAAGCGTCAGCACAAGTCTCGTCTGCGTCGTTGTAGATGAGCTTGAGTGCCTGAACGACTTCTCCCATGAAAGGGCGGTGGGTGACCTCCGGGTGGACACACATAGCGGCAATGGCGGCTACTTTTGCCATGTCATCGAAATCATAGCTTCCCGAGAGAGTGGGGTCCGCCAGCTGCTCAAGGCCCTCTCGGTTGGCGAGGAGGGGCCGGGCCCACGTGACGAGGTTCTCCTGGCCCGGGGGCTGTGACATGTCGACAGGCTTTCGGCCGGAGAGAAGCTCAAGCAGGACAACTCCGTAGCTGTAGACATCGCTCTTCACGAGCAAATGTCCCGTCATCGCGTATTCGGGAGCGACATACCTGCAATTAGGGGTGTATTAGGAATTTCGCAAAGATTTTTGTCTTCATTATTTTTTTTTAGTTTTATAGTTATTTTAGTTTTTTGTCTTTTTCTTTTTCTTTCTAAATTTTCAGTTACATTTTTTGCTTGCTTCCTAGTTACGCTATGTTTGGTAGTCAAATAAGCTAGCTTATAGCTTATTTTGGTTAGCTTATAAGCTTTCTGTATTTCAAATAAGTTTCGTTTAGTAGGATGAGCTTTTTGAAAAGCTCGAGCTTACCTCATAAGCTTCTTTAGGTAGCTTTTCAAATAAGCTCATTGAAATTTTTATTTCAGCTAGCTTATCAGCTAATTTTTCCAAAACACTTTTATCATAAAGGCTACCATTTTAGCTATAAGTCATAAGTTATAAGCTAGCTTATTAGCTGATAGCTAGTTTTACCAAACATAGCATTAATCCGCATTTCTTTCCCAATTTTTAGATTTGGTTCAAGGGAAGTAAGACGAGTGTGCATTCATCTTGTAGGAAAAGGATGAGGAATGCAACAGGAGAGTGATATGACCTTTAGAGGGGGAAAATAAAATAAAAATACCCAAAAGTGCCCATGACTCGAGTAGATATGTGATGACTCCCTTCAGTCGCTTCCCGTGCCAGACCAAAATCCGAGACCTTAGGAGTGAAGTCATCTTCAAGTAATACATTACTAGCTTTAAAATCTCTATGAATCACACGGGGATTGGAATCCTCGTGAAGGTAAGCCAATCCTCTCGCCGCACCAAGAGCAATTTTCAGACGTGCATCCCAATCCAAAGGCCCCTTGCTTCTGTCGTCACCTAATGACATCAAACCAGCAAATTTTTAAAACTGGAAAATACACGCAATTTTGCAACAAGCAACATTTAATAAGAGGACAACATTACGCGTACCATGCAAGTGGGACTCCACGCTGCCGTTTGGGACCAGCTCATAGACCAAGCATCGTGTCTTTTGCTCGATGCATATGCCGATGAGCTTCACGAGGTTACGATGATGCAGACGGCTCAGCATCTCGATCTCAGCAATGAATTCACGGTCTCCGTTTTGGTTGTCTCTTGTCAGTAATTTGACGGCGACCTCAGTCCCATCTGGCATCAACCCATGATAGACCCTCCCGAATCCTCCTTCGCCCAAAACCTTATTCTTGCTAAACCTTTCTGTGGCTTTCTCGAGTTCTGCCAGTGAAAATGTCTTCACAGAAAGAACAGAAGCTGGCATGGCGGATATGAGAGAAGCTGATGTGGAGGTGGTAGGGCTACTCGACCGCATAGAACCAAATCCTATATTGCATACCGACAAAAGACAAAAAGAAAAAAGAAAGAAACTTTAGGCACAATAGTAAGAAAGAGCAATCAATGTTGAGCAAAAGTTTCAACAAAGATAGCTAGCATGAGAGAAGGTTCCAGCTCCAGATGAACTACTTAATCTTGTAGAGAAAAAATACAAACAAAGCCTGCCTGCATGCATACCGCATACCTGATCTTTTGTGCATAGAAGGCGTGAGTACTGCGCCAACATCATTAGATGGTTTACATGCAGTCCTGCACTTTAATAGCACAGCTACAGCAGCACAAGCAACCACCAAGAGCACGAATGCAGACAAAACAATGACGACAATTATTCGAGGGTTTATCTTCTGATTTTTTTGAACAAAGTCTGCACTAATAGGGTATTGTTGATTTCCAGCAGTAGGACCCTCACCGAATGGGGTTGAAGACGGGAGTCCTGCAGAAACAACTTTCAGTATTTGCAATAGAACCAGATAAGAGGTAAAATATATTTTAGCAATATAAGTGTACCTGGATAAGAAATGTTCATTACACCATAATCGCCAAAAAGGGTCCTATTGAGGGGCACTTTCTTGTGTAAAAATCTTTCATAAGTCAGGGTAGCAGTTGTATCATCAAACTTCTCCCCAAGAGGAACTAAATACATATCAACCACCGCTCTTTCCTGGTTTTGAGTATCTGCACTAGCTCCAATGATTGCTACTTGACTTTGTTTAAGATATGTACCGGCTGCAACCTCAATCTCTAACTCGGTGACCTCTGGGAAGATAGCATAGAGAGGTACCCCCAAAAGAAGTCTGACTCTCATTGGGATCACACACATACAGGGTGAACCAAATGGGGCTGAAGTTAGTGGCTCCGCGCAACTTTGACTACAACCTGCTAGATTCTTTTATCAAACACCTCTCCATGTATTGAAACAGAAACAAATCATACTGATAAAATTGAGGGAAGAAAAGTGCAGATTTGTTCATTGTATATGCCAATGAAATGTTCGGCAGAAAGTGACAGTCACACATATGAAGAAACTTATTATAACGGCCAAGCAATTATTAAGTTTCTTGAAAGCCAACTACCTAAACTACGTCACATAACTATACCAGTGACAACCTGAAGAGGAACTAATATTCAAGTTCCATTTTAGCAGGCATGACCTTAAAATAGCATCCCACTACAGGAAGAATAACCAGCAAACAAACTGTTGATGTGAAGTTTTCAGAATTTCACTTTACCATGAGATTTCCAGTCCTTTCGCGTTCAAGTAGCATGATTAATCTTGAACATGATTAAAGATTTACCTCTTTTATGGACCAGGTTCTTGTAATTTGAATAATACCATCTATTCATGCTGGAGTCTGTTTTCTGAGTATCGGATGGTCAGTTGCTCTTTCTTCCATTAGGTTTATTCTTGAGAAATTCTTGAAATTTGAATACTAAAAATATTCTATGGCGTGACAATATTAGACCATCACCACGACAGGAACAGAACCAATGAAGATCTTAATACCTTGAATGCATTAATCTTCACTATTGAGTCGTTGATAGAAGAAACTTTCTTAAAGGCAAATGAGCTAAATAACACGAATGTTTGAGGGTGTCCAGTAACAGTTATCATTAAATAACAAATGTTTGAGGGTGTCCAGTAACAGTTATCATTAAATAACTCAAATGGTTCATTTCTTTACCCCTTCATATGAGGAAACTGGACTACTAAAAGTGATTGTAAACGTCACAGGATAGTTAGATGGGATAATAAAATTGTTAATCAAACCTTTTACCTGGACTAGCAGAAGGAGAGGGAGAAAGCACAATAACTCTAGTTCTAGGCCGATGATGGCGATGCCTACCCATTTTACCAGTAGGACTAGTAACGGGGCCTAAGATAGAATTCAACAAAAGATTATCAGATAAATGCTGATATAATTCTATTAGAAGTCAAATGTAGCAAACATCATCAATACCTTGTGACAATGGAGATGGAGCTGGGGCAGCTGATAAAATTTTGTTACGGTGCCTTCGGGCAGTCAGAAATGAACTAAACAGTTCATTAATCGATCCTGCACTCAATTCAAGGAGCAATAACATTTCATATCAATACCATTCGTGTATACTCCCAATCATAGGATGATGCAGCCCACACGAAAGAAATATAAACAGATTCACATCAATTAAGTATTCACCAAACTCAATTTACCTACATAACTACAATCCAGTAAAACATGACAAGAGAGTGAGAGAGAGAAAGAGGTTTACTGCTGGATAAGGATACACTACAGAACTCAAAAATCCAAACGTCATACTTATTGCTTTGTTATGTACCATGTTTAAGAGCACTTTCCGACCCGAATGGTTGACGGGGTGAGTGAGAAGGAGATAAGTAGATGGCCTGTGAAGGAGTCCCTAACATGCAAAAGCACATCAACAATAAGTTTGCCAGACATAATAAATCAACTTTTACTAGCAAAAGCTACTATCACAAATTGCATTGGAGATTGAAAGGGATTGTTACACATTCGAGCCATAAATTCACCACATGTTAAGAAGCCATCAATATTTTCCATAAGAGGCCATCAGAAAGGAAATCGTGTACACTTTATAAGGGTCTCATCTCATCATCTAAAAGTTAATATATAGAATTATAGATACATAGATGCTGAAATTCTCTCCCTTCATGCAATGCATAATTTCATGATCCGGTTAGCTGAAAGTTGGCACACTCCATGAAGGGTTTGAGTAACAAACGTCACATTAAGCAGCTCATCATTTCACATCCAACATTTTACCTTAAACTAACAATTTTCAAGCCGCCCACTTGAGAAAAAAAGGTCAATTCAATAACCAGTAAAGGAAAAAAGCAGTTGTGGGCTACCTAAGTCAAAAGGTAACAAAAAGGTAAAAAACAGATTCCATTGACATTGTTGGGAGAAAAGGAAGGAGGAGCAGGAATTACCGAAATTAGTAGGAAATAGAGCGAGCAGAGGAAGAAGAAAAATGAGCATCTTCTCTCTCCAGAATGCAATTCACATACATTTTCCCTCACACCCTAACACCACAGCTGGGAGCTCGCAGTGGCAGTCTAGGGTTCCGGCGAAGCTCTTCCCGTCCACATAAGCACCCATTCACTTCTCCGCAGAGCTGCAAAGTTCCTATATCAACTACAGGCAGTATTGAGCATACAAAGCACCAAATCACAGCTCAAGAAACAGCAATGCCGGAAAATCCAGCGAACAATTTGTAGATCCACGAAGTGCGGCTGGGATCTAGACAAAACTTCCGAAAAAAAAAAGGTTGACAAATGGATGAAACGTGGAGTAGTACGAGAAACGGATCTTGGGAAAGCAAAAGAAAGGAAAAAAAGTAAAGGCGAGGTTTTAGAGAGAGAGATGGGAGAGCATGAAAGAGTGAGCTATGGTGGTAGAGAGGTTTTAATGACGGTGGAACCACCACCAAATTGTTTGTTATACGGGTAATATGGACTTATGGAGGCACACGGCCATGGAGGCGCGTGAGTAGACGGCCCAATAGCCTGTTTATAGAGGATTGGAAAAATAGTTTCTATTTATATTTTCTGATTGTATTTTATAATTTAATTTTTTTAATAGTGTTATGTGTGTGTGTGTATTAATTTTCTTGAACAAGGTTAATGAAATTACCTGATTAGGTAATCCTGCTGGATAGTGATATAATCATTTACTAGGGTCACAAAGCCTAAACCAAAATCATAAATGTGGAGATGCAAATAAAATAAGCCTAAACCAAACAAACAACAAGCCATTTTCAAATTTTGAAATCCTTGTGTACATAACCAATGTCATAATTAAACAACCATTCATGAATGCATAAGATTATTATTTTTAATAACATAATTATTTTTAATAGTAAATGATTGTAGGATGGACTCTAGAGAAGAATACTTTTCTCAAGAAATATATGGTGTGTTATAATCATTATATCGTCAAATACTCATCCGTCAAATACATGTTGCGTTTATAGTCAGTGTATTTTCAATATATGTTGCGTTTTTATTTACATTACATTCATCTAACCACAATTGTGATATTTGAATTTTGTTTATATATATTTTCTAATTAATTTTATACCAACGATCTATACAACATTGATATATAAAACGCTTTAATGTGCTCTTCAGAATGTAAGAAAATTATACATACTAGATTATAGTTATTTTTTGCTCAACCAAAATTCGATATATACAGTTTCATGTTTTCTTATAAGTAGAAGAAGAGTGAAAACAAAAAAAAAACAAAGATATTTTATTTGATAGTTGTTAGAATCTTAGAAGTGGACTTATGGAAATATAAAATAAAAAATAAGTCTTACGCTGGTGAATGCATGTTTATACTTGGTTTATAAAGTGTAAATATTTACAATCTATACACAATTTTCAAATTTGGCATCTTCCCATCTTCACCTTTTACCATCCATCGCGCACCGCTGTCGCCAGATTTTTCCTCTACCCAGTCATCTATTTCGTCGCCTCCAACACCGCTGTCCCTTTATCTTTCTCAACCACCTCGTACGACCCCTCCCACCGAGAAAGCCACGCCCTTAATCCCTTCGAGCTGTCAAAATTCCAGTCGGTGAGAACATCGTGTCCATAGACGAATCCGCATTCACTCGGGTTTTCGAAATCTCCGCCCTCAGAGTCCCGTTAAAAGACCCAGAGAGGGTGTCGGCGAGGCCGGAGGACCCGGAGAGGCCGATGCCAAGGGAGAGGACAGAGAAGCGACCAATGGTGTGGGAGCAGGTGACGCCCGATGAAAGATGTGCAGGACTCGGCAGCGGTGATGGCAGAGGAGATCTCAGTGAGGGAGTAACATGCATTATTTACATAACATTTATCATACAGACAATTTCCAAAATAAGTTCCCATCATATACGAAATGTCAGAACAAATTATTTTTAATCCACCATTTAATTATCTAGTATTTATCTAATTAAATAGGGACAAGACAGTATATACGCAAATAAGTTTGCAAATGTGTCATTCCCACTGTACAGATGTAAATGAGCCAAAATTCTATGTGGTACTACGCTTTTGAGTTCACAAAAAAGGTTAATTCCAAATATGAAACTTAATGGCATGATTGGTATAATGGAATAATATTTGATTGGAATGGAATGATTTGAAGAATGGAATGAATATGAGAAAGGGATGAAACAAGTCTTTTCATTGATGTGTTTGGTATGCAGAAGGAATAAAATCAGAATGGAGTGACATTATCATTCTATATCCCAAACTAATCGAAGCCCTTGAAGTATCCCAACAGAGAAATTCTGTTGTGGATCTAATTAGGGTTGGCAAAGAAATAGGGCAAGATGACGGGGAGATTGAAGACAAGAAGAAAGGTACGATTTTTGGAGATGAAGGGTTACAGGAAAAGACTCGTTGACTTCACAGATTAGTGTTATTTCAATTGTTTTGTATTTTGGGTATTTGGGTTTAATCCGGGTATGTAAGAGAGTTATGTTTAGGCTTTATTCGTTATTGTTAGAGGGATAGTTTAATGTTTTATTGGGCTTCTTGTGTAAGGTGTTAAATTGGCCCATTATCATTACTATTAATAGGTTTCACGTGGAAGAAAATGACAAGAAATGAATTATCACTTTTCCAACTAATTCTTCTCTCTCCTCCTATTTTCTTTCTTTCTCTTTACACGTTTTTTACTCTATCTCCTTCCCCAAGTTTTCTTCTCGCATGTTACAGGAAAATACAGAAAATACAAAAAATATAAAATTACAAGGAAACACAACAATTGGTATCTCAGAGCTTTTCGATCCTCGGAATGGCTGAGAATACTCGCTTGAAAGATCTGCAAGAACTTCAAAAGAAGTTAGACCAAAATATTTTCACAGAGACTATGAAAAGGGAAGCAGCTGAAATGAAATTACAAGAGCAAATGGCTGGGCTAGGATCTGATTTGCAGAACAAAATGGTGGGAATTAGCTCATAGCTACAAGAGAAACTGGGTAATTTAGACAGCAAGTACGACAACATGGCCAATGTTTTGGCAACAATTCAGTTACAATTGTTGAACATGAGCAAAGGAAAAGATAGCAGTGGGGTGGATTCAATCATGGGCCCTTTTCAACAATCAACAAAACCTGGGTCAAGTTTCAAACAACAACAATTCACTAAAACACCTCTGCAACTGAAGAATCCCTCACAGCAAGCTCAGTTTATCAACCCTATGCCCAAATTGGACTTTCCCAGGTTTGATTAGGAATTGGATTCTCAAATGTCATAGGTATTTTCAGATCATACCTAATATTCCAGATTCACAGAAAATAGTGTTGGCATCTATGCATTTTGAAGGAAAAGCTGCCCAATGGTACCAGAATTTTTGTACTAAATATGCAGAATGCTCATGGGCACAATTCCTAGAAGTTGTATCTTCTAGATTTGAGGAAATCAGGGAATCCAAAATCATAGGGGAGTTTAATAAATTAAAACACACTGGTTCCTATGAGGATTATGTTGAGAAGTTTGAAGAACTGAGGTCATGTATGTCACTATTTAACAGGGGAGAATTTTCTAAAGAGTATTTTATTGCCAGTTTCCTGAGTGGTTTAAGTGAAGAGTCCCAAGCTTTTGTCAACATGTTTGAACCTAAAACTTTGCAGCAAACAATTGAATTGGGAAGGAAACAATTGTGTACTGTGGAGGCCCTTGTCAAGAAAATTAAAGTGCTAAACAAGTTTTTCAATCAATACACAGCTCATAAGAAGATTGAGGGAAAAGCAACCAGAGTTCCAAACTTCCACAATGCCTATAAACCACCCATTAAGATGCTAACAATCCAGGAAATGGCAGCAAGGAGGGAAAAGAGGTTGTGCTATAATTGTGATGAGCCTTATGTGGTAGGACATAGGTGCAAAAACAGAGTCACATTCATGATAATGACTGATGAGGAAGAACTCTCATGTGTAGGGATTGATGAGCTTATTGAGGAATTACCTAACACTGCAGATATGGAGGAGATTCAAATGTCACTCAATGCTTTATCTGGGGAACAGGGCCTAACTACAATGAGGCTGTTTGGAGATTGTGAAGGTCACAGACTTCACATCCTTATTGACTCTGGGAGCACTTTAAGTTTCATTCAAGAGTCTAGTGCACATAGGCTGGGGTGTCTACTACAAACACGAAAGCCTGTTGTGGTCAGGGTAGCAAATGGGCAGAGAATGATGAGTACAAAAAATGTGGAAGGTTTTTAGTGGGGAATGCAAGGCCTCAAATTCAAATATTCCACGCGGGTGTTGAAAAATTAGGGTTGTGACCTCATCCTTGGGGGTGATTGGCTAAAATCTTGCACTCTAATAGAATTAGATTATGACAAGATGACAGTTACAGTGACAATGCATGGAAAGAAGATCAAGCTGCAGGCTATGACCTCAAACATGGGGTGCAATTTTATTTCAGGTGATGCCCTATATAAGTTGGTAGACCATGAATGCAGTCAAATTGAAGAAATCTTCCTCTTAACCAATGAGGATGACAATCCTAAGGTGAATTCAAAATTGCAAAACCTAATTAATCATTTTCAGGATATTTTTCAAGAACCCAAAGGGTTTCCACTAGAGAGAGGAATTGAGCACCAAATAATTTTAAAACCAGGGAGTTTGCCAAAACACCAATTCCCATATAGAACCTCTCATGCTCAGAAAGATGAGATTGAAAGGCTAGTACAGGAGATGCTAGATGCTGGAATTATACAGCACTCTAAAAGTCCTTTTGTCTTACTAGTTATTTTGGTTAAAAAGAAGAACAACACTTGGAGAATGTGTGTTGATTATAGATATTTGAATGAACAGGATTATCCAATCCCTATCATTGATGAACTTCTTGATGAAATGCATGGTGCAAGGTATTTCTCAAAAATAGACCTCAGGTCTGGGTATTTTCAGATTTTAATGAAACCAGCTCACAGGCAACTCATAGCTTTCACCACTCACAATGGTCACTATGAGTTTTTAGTGATGCCCTTTGGTTTGTGCAATGCTCCGGCCACCTTTCAATCACTAATGAACCAAGTTTTCAGGCCATATTTAAGGAAATTTGTTCTTGTTTTCTTTGATGATATCCTGATATACAGTTCTAATTGGCAAGATCATTTGAAGCATTTGGAAGCAGTCCTGCAAGTGTTAAGGGACAACCACTTATATGCAAAAATGTCTAAGTCCCAATTCGGAAAAACTGAAGTGGAATACCTAGGGCACATAATTTCCCACAAGGGAGTGGCTACAGATCCTAAGAAGATTACATGTATGGTGGATTGGCCTACCCCAAGGAGTTTTAAATAGTTGAGGGGTTTTCTGGGTTTGACAGGTTACTACATGAGATTTATTAAGGGTTAGGATATCATTTGCAAGCCAATGACAAATGTCCTTAGGGGAAACAAATTTGCTTGGAATGATGAGGCAGAAAAGGCTTTCCTACAACTCAAAGAGGCCCTAACTACAGCTCCTGTACTGGCCATGCCAGATTTCACCCAACCTCTTATTTTGGAAACTGATGCTTGTGGCACTAGAGTGGGGGCAGTGTTGATGCAACAAGGAAGACCCATTGCATTCATGAGCAAGGGTTTGTGTCAGAAGAACCAAGCTCTTTCTATATATGAAAGAGAATTCCTAGCAGTTCTCATGGCAGTACAGAAATTGAGGGGGTATTTGCTACGCCACAAATTCATTATTAAAACTGATCAGCAGGCTCTTAAATACCTCCTTGACCAAAAATCAATGAACATTATGCTGCAGAAGTGGATTATGAGATAATGTACAAAAAGGGAAGTGAAAATAAGGTGGCTGATGCTCTTTCTAGAAGGGATAATCCTGAGGCTGATTGTCTAGCTATTACTACAGTCAAGCCATTATGGCTGCAGTAAGTCATAGACAGTTATGGCCAAGACCCTTTTTGCCAAAGGGTGCTTCAATCCTATGCAAGCTGACAATGCCTACCCTGACTATACAGTTTATGGTGGACTCATCAGATTTAAAGGAAGATGAGTGGTGGGGACTGATGTGCTACTAAGGGAAAATATTCTCAGGGCAATGCACAACTCCTCATATGGAGGACATTCTGGTGTCAATGGTACATACATGAGGATTAAAGGGAGCTTTTTCTGGCCACTACTAAAGAAAAATGTCATAGCTTGGGTTAAATCTTGTGATGTTTGCAAAAAGAACAAACCAGAGGCTGATGCTTACCCAGGGTTGTTGCAGCCCTTACCTATTCCTAACCAAGCCTGGACACACCTTTCCATGGATTTCATAGAGGGCCTACCCAAGTCCATGGGAAAAAATGTGATCTTGGTAGTTGTGGGCAGATTTTCTAAATATGCCCATTTCTTACCCTTATCACATCCTTTTACAGCACAAGATGTGGCCAGGATTTTCTTAGATACAGTTTATAAGCTACATGATCAGCCAACTAGCATTGTGACTGACAGAGATAAAATATTTACTAGTCATTTTTTGAAAGAGTTCTTTAAGCTAATGGGAGTGAGTTTGGACATGACATCTGCCTACCACCCTCAGTCAGATGGTCAAACTGAGAGAGTTAATCAATGTCTCGAGACCTACCTTTGTTGCATGGTTCATGCCAACCCTAAACAATGGCTCAAGTGGCTAAGTCTGGCCGAATTCTGGTACAACACAAACTATCATACCAGTCTCAAGGTCACAACACAAAATGAAATTATATGCAGACCAACACAGACAAGAGAGAAATTTTGCAGTGGGTGATGAGGTTTTTCCTAAATTGCAGCCTTTTAAGCAAAATTCCATTTCCCTACGGAAAAATCTCAAATTATCATCTCGTTATTTCAGGACTTTCAAAATTTTGGAAAAAAATCGGCCCAGTGGCCTAGAAATTGGAGTTACCCCCTGATTCCAAAGTGCATCCAGTTTTCCATGTTTCACTTTTGAAAGGAAAGGTGGATTTGAAATGCTTACCTTCAACGGAGCTGCCTTCGATTGACGAGGACGGTCACTTCAAGATTGAGCCTTTACGCGTCCTCGAGACTCGCATAGTCCACTGGAAGGGATTAGGCGTCTCGCAATCGTTGGTGCAGTGGCTTCACGCTGATCCTTCGAAGTCAACTTGGGAGGATGACACTTATCTTCGCCGGAAGTTCCCGAATTTCGGCCCTTGGGGGCAAGGTCCAAGCTCCGACGGGGGTATTGTTGTGGATCTGATTAGGGTTGGCAAATAAATAGGGCAAGATGACGGGGAGATTGAAGATAAGAGAAAAGGTGCAATTTTTGGAGATGAGGGGTTACAGGAAAAGACTCGTTGATTTCACAGATTAGTGTTATTTCAATTGTTTTGTATTTTGGGTATTTGGGTTTAATTCGGGTATGTAAGAGAGTTATGTTTGGGCTTTATTCATTA